TACAGTTGAAACCTGTATGGTTTTGTGAACGAATGTCATCCCAATAAATTCAATTAAAAAAAAAACCACACAGCCCTGGCCGGTTTGGCTCAGCGGTTAGAGCGTCCGCCTGTGGTCCGGAGAGACCCGGGTTCGGTTCCCGCTAAGGGCATGTACCTCGGTTGCGGTTTGTCCCCAGCCCTGGTTGGTTGTGCGGGTGGCAGCCACTCGATGTGTCCCTTTCACATTGATGTTTCCCCCCTCTCTCTCTTCCTATCTCTCCCTCCCACTCTACAGTATCTGTACAAAAAATGGAAAAACGTCCTCGGGTGAGGATTAAAAAAAAACACACACAAAAAAACACACAGAAAGGATATAAAAATGTTATGTATGTGGTAGCCTTTGTTCCCCCCAGGACACTGTTTGGGTTGCTATGGAATTGGTGTGTGCCTGGATTTGCAATTCAATCCCAAATAAACACTTTTGTTTTTCTTTGCTTGAAAACACACACACACACACACACACACACACACACACGCTATTGTGAATAGATATCCATCATCAATGATTTCAGTGAATAATGAGAACTCTTGGAGTAAGCAGTACATTGAAAAATGTTGTGTCTTTGGAATCAAATAATACGTAAAAAACGAATGTAGATAGTAATGAATAATATAGTTGTCTACTCTTTTAGTTTCTGTTAACAAAACTTTCATTATATCTCTTGTATGTTTGATAATTCTGACCACTGTTAAGTCTGTCTCTCCACGGGGCTGAAATCTGTCCGGTGAGACGAGAAGCCCCAGTGGAAGTAGGACCGTCCGTGTTAGCTGCGTGGCACATGCAGAAAGTGCTCAGAACATAACTGAACAAATGAAGCTCTTTCTGTTTTCTGGGTTGGTATGAACGTATTGGTAAACTTCTATCAGAAGCTTGTCTATGTGATAATTCCTCAAATACTTGAAGACTTAGAAAATATGCCCTACTCCCTTCAAATATTAGGAACTTAGTAAGTTAGTTTACTATGGTATATGTTAAACCATCAGACATTGCCGATATTTGACTGCTTTTGATTCATTGACAGTTTTGTATGATTCAGCCTAATATTTTAAACTCCAGATCTATTAAGAACAGTTGAAGATATGCCAAAATAGAGAGGGCCAAAGCTGGGTTATGACAGGGTTGTAGAGAAAAAACATACCTGCTTGTAATTTATATGAGCTGATAAGTTAGTTATAATAGTATTTGTTATGAGTACACTCTTATAGTTTTAAAACTTGTATGCTAGCCTGTCGTCGTCTTTTTTTTTTTTTTTTTTAAGGATGCCCAATATCTAAACTCTTTCCTGTCATCTTCCATGTCAGGTACATTCTTTCACAGATTCCTTTGGTGCTAGGAACAAGATCTTTCTTTGGCCCTGACTTTGAATCAGAAGCAAATAACTTGAACAAAAAAGAACTGTGCAGAATCCATTTTTGGGATGGACTGTGTCATCAGCAGTAGCTACCATCAGTCAGGCTGATGGCAGCATTTCTGGCCCTTTGCTGTGCATAGTTTCAGTGGTGCCAGCTGGAAGACCTCATGGTGGACCTGTTCTGCTCCGTAACTTTGGGCATCTTGACTTCATAGCCTTCCAGCCTGGTACTCTAAGCCCTCCCAAGTTCTTCTATGGATTCTTTTCCTGCTTAACTCAGGCGAAGTTGTCATCTGTTGTCTGCAGCTGAGAACCAGTGTTTTCTTGGCATTTTAATGCTCTACTGCATAACCTTTTTTTTTTTTAATCTTTATTGTTGAATGTATTACAGTTGTTCCTCATTTTTTGCCCATTGACCCCCTCCTCCCCTCTCCCGCTCCCCCTCCCACCTTTCCCACACTATTGTCTGTGTCCATTGGTTATGCATATAAGTTCTTTGGTTTATTTCTTCCAACCCCCCAACCCCTTTCTCTCTGAGGTTTGTCAGTCTAGCAATGAATTTGTACTTCTTAATCCCTTCACATTTTTCACCCATTCCCCCAATCCCCCTCCCATCTGGCAACCAACAAAATGTTCTCTGTATCTATGAGAATGTTTCTGTTCCACCTGTTCATTTTGTTTGTAGATTCCATTGTTGATAGATATGTATTCATTGCCATTTTGTCTGTTCATATATTTTATCTTTTTCTTCAAAAAGACCCTTCATCATTTCATATAATAACGGTTTGGTGGTGATGAACTCCTTTAACTTTTTCTTGTCTGAGAAACTCTTTATATGGCCATGGATTCTAAATGACAGTTTTGCAGGATAGAGTAATCTTGGTTGTAGGTTCTTGCTTTTCATCACTCTGAATATTTCTTGCCACTCCCTTCTGGCCTACAAAGTTTCTTTTGAGAAATCAGCTGACAGCCTTATGGGAACTCCCTTGTAGGTAACTAACTGCTTTTCTCTTGCTGCTTTTAAGATTCTCTCTTTGTCTTGAACCTTTTACATTTTGATGATGATGTGTCTTGGTGTGGGCCTCTTGGGGTTCATCTTGTTTGGGACTCTCTGTGCTTCCTGGACTTGTATGTCTGTTTCCTTCACCAAGTTAGGAAATTTTTGCCATTATTGTTTCAAACAGGTTTTCAGTTTCTTGTTCTCTCTCTTCCCCTTCTGGCACCCCCAAGATGCAAATGTTGGCACGCTTGAAGTTGTCCCAGAGGCTCCTTACACTATCCTCATTTTTTTTGGATTCTTTTTTTTTGCTGTTCTGATTGGGCGTTTTTTGCTTCCTTACATTTCAAATCAATGGGTTGCTTCTTGGATTTATGTACTCTATTATTGAATCTGTGTAAATTATTCTTTCTTTCAGTTAATGCCTCCTTCATTTCTGACTGTGCATCCATCATTTCTGACTGGTCCTTTTTTATGCTCTTGAAGCCCTCACTAAGTTCACTGAAGTTCTAAGTTCATTGAGCATCCTTATAAGCAGTATTTTGAACTCAGCATCTGTGAGGTTGCTTATCTCTATTTCGTTTAGTTCTGTTCTTGGGGTTTTGTTCTGTTCTCTCATTTGGGACCTGTTTCTTTGTCTCATTTTGGCCGCCTCCCTGTGTTTGTTTCTGTGTATTACTTAACAAGAGGTATGGGGCTATCTGAGACCAGATGCTGCTTGTTTGAATTTAGGAAAACCTGAAGCAGGACCCAAGACAGGCCAATCCTATGGTAAAGCAACTGGCAACAGCTTGGGTGGGCCTGAAAGTTGGGTGGGGCGGGGCCTCAGGGAGTAAGCAGGGCGGGGCTACCAGTGTGAGCCTGGTTGCTGGAGTCCCAGATATGGCTTCTGTCTGCCGCCCCAGGGAATGGCTCACCAAAGGAACAAAGGCCTCTGACAGCACGTTTGTCCCCGAGAAAGCCCCCTCTCCAGCTCTCGCTCCAGTGCCAAACAGCTCAGTTCTTCCCTGTATGTCTCTGGCGCCCCTCGAGCTGCCTCCCCTCCGAGCTTAGAGGGAGAGAGTCCGATAAGTCCGTGCGCGGGCCCTTTAAGGAGCTGCCTGGGGCTCCAGCCGCCTCAGCCTCCCTGAGCCTCAGTTTCCGCTGGTTTTTCCAGCCAGAAGTTATGGGGATTCTCTTCCTGGCACTGGAACCCTGAGCGGGGCACCTGGTGTGGGACAGGGACCCCTCAGTCCTCAGGGAGGACCTTCCCAGCCGAGGTGTCCTCCTGATTTTTATCCGCCACACATGGGTGTGGGACCAGCCCGTCCACCTCCGCCCTCCTACCAGTCTGGATGTGGCTGCTGCTTTAATTCCGTAGTTGGAGGACTTCCATTCAGCTTGATTTCAGGCGGTTTTGAATGATGGTTGTTCAGTAGTTTAGTTGTAACTTTGATGTGGTTGTGGGAGGACGCGATACCGCGTTTACCTACCCACCATCTTGACCGGAAGTCCTGCACAACCTTCTTTATTGCTATAGAAGAGAGAAGAAAAATTGTTTGGCCCTGGCCAGTTTTTCTCAGTGGTTAGAACGTCAGCCTGCGGTCCAGAGAGAGACCCGGGTTCGGTTCCTGCTAAGGGCATGTACCTCGGTTGCAGTTTGTCCCTGGCCCTGGTTGGGTTGTGCGGGTGGCAGCACTCGATGGGTCCCTTTCATGTCAATGTTTCTCTCTCTCTCTCTCTTCCTCTCACTCTGTCTGAACAAAAAATGGAAAAATGTCCTCAGGTGAGGATAAAAAAAAATCATTTGGTGGTAGTGGCTTGCAGTGAAGAGTTTCTTAGTACATGCCCACATGGTTTGCTCACATATGTGTGCTGGTCCGTGCTCAGCTGAATACTCAAGGGGCACCCTTTGCAAATCTCTGGCTTTCACACTGTACAGGTCTCACTTCTCCAGTATTCTGCCCTGTGAGCTCCAGAGGCACTGGTCTCCTACTTACACCTCTTTTCCCTGAACCAGTGAGGTGACTAGGCTCCATCTGGGTTCCTCCTCCTTGCACAGGGGCCTAGATCCTCAAGGATGTACACTGGGCAATCGAAGGGCTAACCTTGTTTGTTTCCCATCTCTCAGGGATCACTGGCTTTCATTGCTTGATGTGTACAGTGTCTTGCAAACCATTGTCTTATATATTTTTTCCTCTTATTGGTTGTTTCAGATGGTTGCAAACAACCATAGCAGGGCCAATCTGATTCCTGTTATTCCATCTTGGTCAGAAGCGGAAGTTTTAGATATGAAGGGCACAGATCGCTAGTACTTCTTTATACATATGGACATCACTGGTGTAATTAGTAAAAGTCAGCATCTTATCAACCAAAAAGTTGTTTTATTAACTGTTTCTCTTTCAAGTTACTGCTTTTGTATGCTTTACCCAAAGTTTGAAATCATTGCAGATTTAACGGTCATAAACATATTTAGCATGCATATTGTTTTTCTCTTAAAAAAAATAATATCTTAAACAGATATAGAGAGTAATTTTCGTTATAAAATACTTTGTTAATTTTTGAATTGCTGTTTGTAAATAAAGCCATGTGTTGCAGTAACATTTTTGTCTTTCTTTTGATTTACTTTAGAGGCTGCGAAAAGGACATTTCAAGCAAAAGGCATCTTGGCAGGAGAAAGCAGAAGTTTTAAGCCTCATTTGACCTTCATGAAGTTGTCCAAGGTACCATGGCTCCGGAAGATGGTGAGTGGACATTTTTATTGCAAACCTTGTTTTACTGGCTATACCAGCTTTAAGCATGGTTGGGGGCATAAGTGACATCTGTAGTGTTTTTTGACACCCTACGTGCTATTGCTCCTGGTCCAGTTCCCGGGGATGCTGAGTTGGCTCATGAGCCTCCATGGAGGCTGTTCTACTTGTTCCCTCCTTTGCCACTGTGGCTAATAGCCACATGCTCTGACCAGCCCTCACTGTTGCTTCGTCTGTTGCCACATCTGCTTCATCCCTCAAAGAGCCTTGAGGTAGTGCCAGGGTTTTATTTTCGGCTTTCTTTGTAATGGTTGTTTGCAGCCTGCTGCTGTCAAAGCTTACCCCACTGACCTGCATACACTGGTTCTGCTCACTGCATTTTCAAGGTGGGATAAGCTCTCCAAGCCTCTTTACAGAGCTCTTTCAGGGTTTCCAAAAGCCCAGCTTGCTCTTCCAGTGGCTGTCCAGTGAGGGCTTGGAGCAAGTGTCCTGGGACCGGGCAACAGGGTACTGTGGGAAACTGTACTTCACAGTACTTCTCCCTGCGGACGGTCAGCAGTGACACAAGCCAAGGACATGTGTCTTGACTTCCCCATCTCAGGGTGACTCTCTGCCTTCCCAGGCCACTCCTTCCCCTTCAGAGGTTGGGGTAACTTTTGACTTTCCTCTGGATTTATAAGCGTTTCTCCTGGAATCTTCATTGTTTTTCCCATTTCAGCCTAGGGATTTTCTCATGCCAGTTAAGACCTATCTGCTGACCTGCTCTGATAAAGCAGAGTTGTGGAGGTGGCCATGCAGATTAGTGTTTGCTCCTGCTCTCCATGACCCTTGGCTGCAGTTAAGACTGATTCGCAGCCCTGTAAATGAAGGTCATGTTTATTAGTAAGTAGATCTTTTTCCTAAATTTGGCACATTTTATATTTATTGTCTCTGTGCTCAGAAAGTCTTTTTGGTCCTTTAAAGCATGTGTTTAAGTGATTGACCATCCTGTAGTTATGAGTTTTCTATAAAGTATTATGAAAATCTTTTCAAAAAGAGATCCTGCAGGTTTTTTTTGTTGTGTTTTTTTGTTTTTGTTTTTTGCTAACTATGCCCACATTCAACAATAACTCTGTTAGATGCCATTCTAGGATGTTTTGGTAAAAATAATTTGTGTAAATAATAGATTTTGAAATTTAGAATGATAAAAACTGATACAACTTAATACACTGACAGTTTACTTTTTTACTTGTTATCTTTCTTATTTTGCTTTCAAATGGATTGTCCTCTTCCCAGTGGTTTCAAACTTAATCACAGAATACAAAATCAATGGTGAAGGTAATACTCCAAATTTCAAAATGTTTTTTGTCTTTACAATATTAAGTTTGAAATGATAGTGCCCAAGGACATTTATCAAAGGAATATTTAGACTACTCTAGAATCTCAATTTTAATATTTCAGACTGAATTGAAATGACTCCGTGGCAGTTAATTTCACAGAATCTGCTCCCTTACTTTACAGAAGAGGATGTGAGACTTAGAAAGGTTTAGTGACAGGAATGAGATCACATTTTTCTCCGTTGCTGAGCTCTGTGTAGGATCCATCTTATCTTATTCTCAGTCTCATTTTCTTCACTACCACTGCCCACCCCCAGTATATCCAAATGAATCGATATGTGAGGAGCAACCTGGTCCAAATCATACTCATTTAACAGATCTTTATCCAAATCATACTCATTTAACAGATCTTTATCCAAATCATACTCATTTAACAGATCTTTATCGAGTGCCTACTGGGTACCAGACACTGTGTGTGGGGCTGAGTTATGATCAAAATAGATCATAACTTGTGTGGTATACAAACTCTAAATCAGACTGGATTTTGTTTAGGTTAGACTGTTTAATCTTTAGAAAATAAATTATGACCTTATTCTTTTTCAGAAAGCCAAATAAGAATTGTTTCTTTAAGTTATGGAATGATTTTGTTTCTGTTGACTACTATGACATTCAGTGTTTCTGAATGCTTAAGAAAGTGTATCTTAAACTTTGGGATTCATGAGTCACCTGGGGTGCTTGGTGAAGCTACAGATTTCCACCCTCTGGCTTCAGATCTGGATTTAGATCGACCTAGTTCTTGACTTTTGATGTTTAATAAGTGCCCTGGGTGATTCTGACCCAGACAATCTGCGGAGTAATAAGTAAGTTCCCACTTAACGTTGTCAGTAGGTTACTGGAACTTGGGTGAAATGAGGTGTAATTAACTCTTACAAACAAGAGTTAAGTTCCTGGGGTAGCTCATCAACATTATAACGAAATGATGTTATTTGAGGACCTTCTGTATGCTCCAAGACCTGCAGGCTTAAATACATGTCCATCATGTTCTTTATGTAGCAAATCGTTGGTTCTACTGTAAAAGTTAAAAGCAATATGAAAAGGTGGCATACATAAAAGTGGATTTTATTATGCTTTGTCATTTGGAATGGAGATTATTTGAAAATATGTGGCTGTCTGGTCTTTTTTTTTAACTTCTTTACATTTCCCACTGTCTTTCCTCCTCTCTCAGCGCTAATTCTCTTCTGAGTTTTTATTCTGGTCTACTCATTTGCAAGGGAGTAACCACTGATAAAGTAATTAATGGAGTGTATTGCTAGTATTCAGTTGTTTAGATTTATAATGAAACAAAAGAAGGAGTGAGAGAAAGAAAGAAGAGTGTGAAATAATAGGTTTCTTTTCACTCTAATGTTAGGGAGTTTGTGTCCTTTCAAGTACTCTTTTTACATTAAAAGTTATTTTAGTTATAAAAATATTAGGTGAATATATGCTCACTTTAAACATAAGTGCCTTAATGTGTTTCCATGTATTTCAGAGGTAAAAAGTGGGTTCCCACAATTACTCTTTTAGCTCATGAATTTTCTGGTAGATCAGTGAATAGAGCTGACCTTAGTATCACCTGGAATACATATAGTAAGTCCTGCCTTGGTTGGTTGGGGGTTTGCTGGGTAGGGTTCTGAGGAAGAGTGGAGCCTTGGTGGGCTGAGCATAGAAGAAAGTGATGACGGGCCAGTTAGATGTCCCATGACATCTGGGGAGCCACTGGATGCAGAAAACGGGAAGGTCTTCCATCGTCTTTGAGAAGTGTTCTTCAGTTTGTGGTATGGATGGGTGATGCATAGGGAGAGTGTCAAGAAAAGAGCTAATGATGTCTGCCACTAACATATTCTGTTTTGAAGGTTGGTGCCAGTGGTGTGCTCCTTTATTTTGGCTCGACCTGCTAGAAGGTCATCTGGAAATTATTTTGTGTGGCAAGTAGATACTGGTGCACTCCTAAGATACTAGCGGTACTGCTGTCAGGGCAGACATGGTAAAAAGGGGTGTTCTGGGTAGAGGAATGCTCGGGATCGTTAGAGGCAGACTTTGAGATTGTAAGATAGATGATCCATTCATTATTATCCACAGGAGGCAAAATCAATTATTCTGTAGTAGTACTTCAATTGATTTTTTTCACCATATAATGTATCATTTTTTTGATTACCTAAAAAGCTAGTATCCATACTGACATAACAAAAAAGGATTCAAAGTTGGAGCCATAGCTAGTTTGTTTCTGAAGGTGAACTGTCTCATTGACATAGAAGATGTGGACAGATGTCTGGTGCAGCGGATGAGTGTTCACCAGCACTGGGATGCTCATACAGAGTAGTGTGAGAATTCCCAGTGGTGTTCATTGTTCGCTGTGGAGGTCCCTGGGCATCTGGGGTACCATCCACTTGTAGGAACCTGTTTTCAGTTAATAACACCATTCAGTAGAAGAAATCAAAAGACCACCAACAGTTCTATAGATTATGTTCAGAATTTTGAAAATACAGAAACTCTATTTTAGATTTCCTGATAGGGAACTTCCACTGTTACACATGGTATTCTGGGTTCTAAGCTAGAGCACAGACTTCTAATTCAGATTCTGGGAAACTTAAGAATTTCCTTGTCAATTATATGGTATTTTTTGAACACCAGGAGGCATTTAGTCAATATGATGGTTTTTGCATATTCTTAGTTTCATAAAATTCTAGTGGGGTGTATCACAGAAGAGAGTATTGAAAGTGGTTGTGTGTTTTAAAGCTGTTTTGATGATCACTGTACTTTCAAAGTTATAGTTTTTTCATTAAATGAATGTAGCCTGAGAAAAATCTTACTAAATTTTACTTATTTGTATACCAGTTATTTGTCTAGTGTCCTTAGAATATATTTTTCCAAAGTTTTTGTATAGTATCCTTAGAATATATTGTTTTTCACATGGTTAGTCTGCTACTTGTTCATCCCCATGCTTTTTATAGTACATACTTTTGGACTTATTTTTCTCATTGAATGACCTTGTATTTCTGTGATTTAAACATTGCAGAAACTGGTTGCTAACACTTGGTGGCAGAAGAAGACCAGTTTCAAATGAAACAAATGTCTTAATGTAGATCTAGATTCCTCAAGAAAGAAATGTGATCTTTTCAAGGGTAGTTCTTTTTCTTTGCTTTTAAGCATAAATTATTTTCTGGGCTTCTTAGATGTCTTTTCTAATTTATGACTCTTTCAAATTATTAACCTCGCACTTAAACGATCAAAGTTATAGTTTATGAATCGGAACTGCCTTGTAGAGTCAGACAAGTAGAGGACTTCAGAATGAAAGAAATGATCTTTTTTGAAATGACTGCTGGTAGTGACTACTGTCACTTAGAGTGGTTTGTTTTGAGTGCAGAATTTGCTACGCACACAGCAAGGGCGGAGGGGTGGATATTGGACCACGTGACAGTGAGGTGGAGAGAAAGAAGAGGTTATAGGGCATCTTCAGTAGGACTAGCAATGGGGAGTGGAAAAGGAGAGTTTCTGGATGAAAATTCTGTTCTGAAGGTACAATTAAGTGTAAAACCCAGTCCCTGAATTGTTTGGTGACTGAATATACATTACAGGACCAAGATTGTAATGAAAGTCCACACTAGGTTGGTTGAGTCCCAACCTTTTACATCCTTTCCC